AATTTTGTGCCAAGTTACTGCTGTACAAGCCCTGTACAACCATTTCTGACTTCATGTTTGTCTTTGTGAGACTGCTGCAGTGTATGAGCTGCATCTGAAATCTGCAATACACTCTGCAGTTATGGATTTGGTAAAGGGAACACACACTCATTCCTGTCACCAATATAGCCTGAAACACATCAGGAAACACATCATGCTTTCAATAAGATCTACTGTGAAATAAAATACAATCTTCATTTTTACTGGTCGCATGAAAGGTCAGTAGAAATGGTGTGCTACACTGAAAGGTGCTACTGGCTTATGCCCAAGCTGCTGATTTGTAAGCATTCAAAATTTGGTAGAAAAACACTGGTCAGATTTTTCTTGTTCTGACATCTAAAGATTCAAGGTTTCTTTGAATTTTAATGAAACGGTGTAGAGGGTGCACAGTCACCTTCCTTTTAAAGACCAGGCTATTTCAAAGGGAATCGTTGAGCTTCGAGAAGAAAGGTGAGACCTGATATGTTATAACAATCTGCAATCAGAGGGAGATGGAGAAAGATGTCCCAGACAGGACAAAGATCCTTGACCAAGGTGGTTCTACATCACAGTTCCACTCCTTTCTGGTGTTTTCTCTGGATGAGGCAATGGATTTGCACACTGACAGGTGCTATGACCTAACACCAAGCTGTATGTCAATAATAGCACATCTAAAGAGGTTTGCTCCTCCCTAACAGTTTCATTCAGACAAAAGTCTAGTAATTTTCAAATGTAACAGATGTTGTTCACTAAGTCTGCAAACAAAATGCAGGAGTAGTTTTTTATTATTATTATTATTAACCTAATTATTATTACTATTAATTAGGTTATTATTAACCTAAATAATGAGAAAATGGTAGAAAGGATATGAAAAAGTCTTCAAAGTTTTTGAAATATCATTTGTAATGTACACATTATAGAAGTGAATCTGTGTAAGTAATCTGGCTCAAGTAACTACAGACAGAGCTTGCTGCATGTTCTAGAGGTAGGAGAATTGCATGCAGTCATTCCTTATGTCCCCTGTCTTTTGATGCCAGCTAGGTGACAAATTGCACACTGGAATCCTCTCTTATGCCTTTAAAGGTCACCTGCCCCCAGAGATACTGATGATAAAGTCACATGAGTAAAACTGAGTAAGTGGGGAGGAGGGGGAGAGACATCAGCATGCACCAAGAGTGAATATGGAAAAATAACCCTTTTAGGTTGGAAGGTTTTTCTGCAATGTTGAGTTATCATTGTATTCACTTTGCGACACTAATCAACACTAGCTAGACAGGAAATCAAACTGCTCAGTGCTCATGGGGTAAACATGTGGATTTGTATCAAACTGCTGCACTTACTTCCTAGCTAAGCCAGATTGTCCCCCTAGAGCTATTTTCAAAATGCATCAGCAAGAAGGAGGTTACGTAAAAAGGCCTTAAACCATATGTTACCAGGTTGTACCCACTTGCATCAAGTACTTTAAGACTGACTGTAGATGTCTGTGCACTGCACACAACACTTGCATGAAATTAATTTTTGCCAAATAGGGCTGAATAACCTTTCACTAACTCCTAATGACAGAAGCTGATATGTAATGCATGCTGGCTTTGTATTTTGCTGGTTGAATTAGAAGGGAAAAGAATGCCTGTATATAAAGCAAACATTTCCTTGCCGTGGAAGAACAAGAGTTTAGTAGATTCATCTCAAGTATATTCAGTGGATTGTGTATGGAAATGTGAAAAAACTAATTTCCAAGATTAAATATTTACCTAAGTTATGAAGTCGGTGTTTAGCAGGGCAAGCTAGGACAAGATGGTGAGATAGGTAGGGTCAGACTATCTGCTATTTATTTCCTACTGGTGGCTAATGCTAAACATTAGCTAAGGAGTGCTGGTTATTGTTTTGTCTGTAATTGCTAATGATCAAAATGGGACCAATAACTGGATATATTCTATTCATATTGCTTGTAAATATTTTAAGCTCTTCATCCAATCGGTGTTTAGCGTTTGATCTGTTTTCTGCCCTGATATATTTCCTTTGTGATATTGAAATTTCAGCAATGTTTTAGGATACTTTTCTGAAGTTTTACAGGTGAGTTTTTAAAATATGTTTTAAGGGTTTGAGGTTTTTTAACCTACTTAAAGAAACTAATATATTTCAGCTGTGTGTTAGATAAAATAATCTCAAATTATGTGTGGGCAGATGTAACAAAAAGTCAATCAATGCCCAAGATAGCATCCTTTGTTTTGATGTGCTTGCCTAGCTGCAGAGAGGTGAAGACAGAGAATTTCTGGAGTGTTTTGTTTATTTGTTTTGTTTTGTTTTTCTCTCTCCATCTTTTTTATTTTATACTGCTATTTTCCAAGTAAGCCGTATTTCTTTTCCAGATGTATATCAAAACTTGCAGGATATTGTAAGCCTATACGTGGACAGAGATGCTTTGCTTTTATTTGAATAAAATTTGTTCAAATTGATTTGAAATTTGTGATTGCATTAGTCTGTTTAAACAGAGTGCATTTTACAGCTTGTGCATTATGCAGTAGTACCTAGAAGGTCAATAAATGTCTGATTGCCACTCTGAGTAGAACACCTTTGGCACTTCATTTCAGAGAGACGTGTTCTTTTCCTGGTTAATTAAAAAGTAGCATCTTTCTTTGACCAATAAGCTAATTAGGTAATGATATCATTAAAATGTGGACACTGCATTATTCATCATAAAAATAATTGAATTAAATTAAGTGGGAGAAAAGTGAAATCACAGGTAGAATTAAAGGGAGGAAAATACTGGGCTGTTATTCTAGGTCCTGCATCCTGCAGGAACATACCCTGCCTCCAGAGATTGTCCCCTATGGGCTTCAGAATGGCTGCCTGATGCAGAGGAACAGAACAGGCACTATGAAGATGGGTATGTTGCATAAATTTATATAGAGGAATAGCTGATATCCCTGAGATCCATTTGTGTGGTCTGGATAGGACTTGAAACCACCTCCAGAAGCTGAATGAAAAGGTTGCTATTTAGCAAGGAGTTATTTCTGCACTTCTGCACTCCTCCTCTTTAGTTAAAAAGGAAAAAAATACAATAGAAGATACATTGCTTTTCAAAAAACCTACAAGGGAAATAAGTATATAAGGACATAAGTATGTAAGCTATAAGGGAAGTATAGACATATAAAAATGAATGTGCTTGGAATTATATTTGCCTTTAGTTTTAGTTTCTCTGAGTTATTCAAATAAAGACTATTTGTATGATTTTTTTAGCAGGTTTTACAGAGAAAAAAATCAGAGGTGAACAGTGTTAGCTTTTTCACTGGAAATGGCGTCTGCTGAACATTATGCTAGTAAAATACACAGTGCTGCTCTGTGCCACTAACTGCATTGTAGAGTGGGAAGGGATTTGAACATGATGTGAAGCAGTAGATTCCTCTCTGACATGGACTGACCTTTCAACATTTCAGCTTAGCTTTGAGATGATCTTATAAGGAGTGCTGATTAGCAAAAACTTTCTAATAGCCTATTCAGCTGAGACATTCAAGTGCTCCTGGTGTTTAAGCATCTCTTTAAGAGAGTTCCACAAATGTGGAATTAATTGTCGATCTTAGCTGAGAGTGATCTGGAGTTTCTGAAGAACAGTGTATGATGACACCTATTTCTCCTAAAAGGGATGACCTGAATCCAGGTTGTTTTAGGAAGGAAAGTGAAGCAGTGGGAGAAAGTTTTAGGTGCAATGGATAATTGCAATTAGACAATTTGTCTTCATTATTAAAGGAAAGAGATAATGCCTTAAAACAATCTTCAAGTATGTATTTAGTTTAGCCAAATCCTAATTTCAACTGCTCTGCTGCTCTCTGACTGTCAGCACACATTAGTCCTGTTCATGATATAGAGGATCTCTAGGGTGTATTGCAACACCACCTTACCTTTACATTTAGACATCTTACATTTAGACAGGGGTTTCTGACTTCTCTGATATGTATTTTATGGTCAGTAATGTACCTTTTGTTTTGGAAATGGACCCTATGCACAGAGGAACTGTACATTAGTGGAAACCAAACCACTCAGAATCTTGCTTCCTTGACTGACAATATCTTGGATAAATTCTGGATGAAATCAACATGAGCTCAATATTTCTTCTTACATAGTGGGTAACTTTTTATACAACCATCTTCCTTAATGGAAACACATACACTGGAAACTTATCTTACAGAATGACAGGAAAATTTTACTGCAGAAAAATTAATTTCCTTCCTTCAATATTTCTTTTAATAGTTTTGAACACCATATATCTTAACAAGAAATGTTCCCAGCCACTGAGATTAACATGCAAAGCTGCTTCTTAAGAGTATTCATTCTTCTTTTAAAAATGACACAGAGTGCTAAAAGGACCTTGTTCTTAATTTTTAAACCCACTAATTTCATTGTGTCTGACACAAAGCAGAACATTTTTGCTATAATTACTGTATGAGTTATTTTTTTCCCACAAAGTTGTAATTTTCCTAAAATAAGCTGGACTGCTTCAATTATGTAAATCAAGTATCCAGAGAATATGATGACTGCATTGGCAAAACACAATAGAACTTAACAGGAAGCCAGCAGAGAGAGAGAGAGTGATAGGGAAGGCAGAAGCCCAAATGAGGATGCTTTTTTCAATTAGAACCACAGCAAATTCTCTGCCCTGCTGGTAAACTGGCTCCTGCAGCTTCTCACTCTGCCAGATCTGCTCTTCCCTTGGTGCCAGAGTATGACCATTAAGGCTGGCAGGAAGTCTAGGCTAAAATGAAAACTACTGTGCAGAGACCAAGAGTGACTGAGAAAAAATTAGGGTTTACTTCTGTTGGGTTTTTTTTTCTATTGTTATAAAAGCAAATCCATAGGCAGCAGTTTCCAAACAGCCAAAGAGATGATGATAAATTCCATATGAGGCATCTCAAGCAGTATGGGGTGAAACAGCTGGAAGAAGGAAAAATGCTGTAGTAATGGCTAAACAATGAATTTGTTCTCAGAACAGGCAACTGCTTCAAATGGCTGGCACAAGGTGTCTTGGATCCTGAAAGTCCTGGGAACAGCTGACCCTTCCACACATAGTCTTGTGTGAATCCTCCTATAAACCCCAGCCTTTCCCCACTCAAGACCTTCTCAGTGACCTACATTGCACTGATTTTAGGATGCATCTCTTTCTTTGTCTTTGCTGAGGATGGAATCGTCAGCTTGAAGGTAACTATACAAATGAGGTAACACTATTGACCTGCATTATAAAGTGACTGCATCTTTATTTTCAGTCATAATCTTTGTGGGTTTTATTTTCAGTCATAATCTTTGTGGGTTTTATTTTCATGACCTTTTTATCAGCTGACACATCCAGCAGACACCTTCACTGATCTCTCTTCAGCAATTCACTTTGGTGATGGGCAAGGTGAACTTTTCTTCATCGAGCAGCACTACCAGTCCTCCTCTTGGTCTAGCAATCCCACTTACTCTATTAATTTTCCTTTCTTCACCTAATCCTATTAAATCCATGCTTTTTTTTCCATGTCTGTTCTTAAATTACCTCCTGCAAAATGGTTCTGCTCTTTAGCAAGACTTTCCCTCTGGCTGAAGTAGCTGGAGAGAGCATTATTCTCACCACAGGGAGATTCAACAGGTAGTACATTATGTGGTAAGATTAATGGTTGTTGCATATTAGAACAAACATTTTGGGAGCAAAAAATTATAGGATGGCATTATTTGCATTATTTCTGCTGATAGGTCAGCTATATTTCCCTTGGTCTGTTTTGGGTGAAACTTAGAGGTGCATTGATTAGAAAATTTCCTTGCATATTCCCTTACTTCAGTGGCTGTGCTGAAATATGAGATTCTTATTGTACTTGATTGCTTAATCGTACAAACAGCTTCACATTACCTTGCCTTATAGCAGCACAGTGGAGAATCAGAATCAGACTCAGACTGTAATTGCTGACAGTCAGTCATCTTTCCCTCCTTGGCACCATAAGTCAGTTCAAGATGTGGCAGATGTGTTTTATGGAGTTTTAAAGTATAGGGGTAGTATAGATTGTACCATGACACAAGAAAACTGAGAGAAAGCAAAATGAGAAGAGAAACAAATTATAAATAACAGATAAAAAACTTAAGATTTTTACACATATCAGTAGCCATAAAGTACTCTTGCAAGTGCTGGAGAGAATAGCATGAACTTGCATAATTACATGTTTATTACTATTTTTTTTTATATTGTCCAAAGGCCGAAAGTTAGGGGCGAATGCCACTCACTGTTCCACATAGTGCAAAAGATTACATGACGTCATCACTAAAGTTTAAAACCATGAAAATGACAGTTTTAGGGGAAGTTTTATTAACACAGGAAAAAAGAAGGAAAATAGTACTCAAAATGGCAGTCAGCAGCATGTGTTAAGGTTAATTTTGCAGGAATTGTCAGCAAAGGATTGATTTATTCTTTTTATATTTCAGCACAGGAATTAGGCTTTAATCTCTCAGATATCTGAATTTTCAAAATACAGCTGAAATATTAGATCCTGGATATCCCAGCACATGAGAGGAAAAGCCCCAGCCACGTAATTGTACCCATAATGCAATCAGAAACAGCAGGTATAATTCTGAAAGACACAACAGGGTGGGTTTCGGCTGCACTATTGTTGCAGAACCACTACAGTGTAAGAGTATTGTTACTTCTTCCCATCTAATGAAGCCCTGGATAGGATGTTTTTGAACTTCTTTAAACTCTATCAAAAAAAAAAAAAACAAAAACAAAAAGAGACTGAGCTAAGCAGACCACAATTACTTCATTTACTGCACACAGTTTCTTCTGATTAGCTCTGGGCATCTGTAAGGGGACCCTCAATTGCAGCACAGATAACAAGGTTCTATGTATTGTAGCCCCATCTGAGTGCCAAAGGACACATAATAAAAATGGATGAAAACTTACAAGACAATACTATCTGCTGATTTATTTTCCTTGGTACATCTTGTTCCCGCTACATATGGTTGTTAACTGGCTTCAGTTAATTAAATATGTAAGAAAAAAAGATTTTAGAGGAAAAGTCTTCTCAAATTTAAGAAAGGTAAAAGACTATTTTCCAAAATAGTATCCGGAAAGAACCTGAAGCAAATCAATCAGCACAGAGAGACTATTACACATCCCTCTAGGTGTTAGTGCTGATTTCAAGGAGGCCTGTAGATAAAATGAGAAAATAATATTTCAGCTCAGAGACAACAAGGGAAAAGATAACTCAAATTTATTGAGGTGGGTATAATGACAAAAGATGGGAGAAACTGCAGATTCATTTGCAATTTTTCTTGTTATCACATGGGAAATTATGAAAATCAAGAGTTTATAGGATTAGTGAACTCATAGTAGTAGTCCATTTTATGAGGAAACTGTCAAAATCCTTCAATCATATCTGGTATAACTGGATGGAATTTTATGCACTGTTAAACAGGGTAGACGCTCTTTAGAAAAATGTGAAAACAATTTATCATCATTAGTGACACATAAAAACAATTGTGGACAGCTTTAGCAATCTGCTTATAAACCCTGAAAGAATGAGAGCTCAAAAACTTTGGCCTAGGGACAGACACTGGACAATCTGCTGGACTCAGAAAATGTGTGGGATTTTTAAACTTATTGCAAGATGGAAGTATTTCCTGGCTATTTGCATTTTTCATTTTTGGATTTTCTGCCGCCTCTCTTGGGCCCAGGTATGAGATTTTATGAGGAGGCCTCCTGGACAAATATGGCCCTCTAATTAAAACCCACTTCTGGTTATCCAGGTACACAGTGATGAAGTTGAGGAGTCCTATGGCAATCAAAAATTGCATTGGGACGACTGATTGAAGGGATGGGAGCAGAGGTGGTGTTTTCCTCAATCCCTTGGGTAGCAAGAAGGTAAGAATGCCAAAAGGAACGGGAGAACCCGCATGATCAACAGGTGCCCTAAAATCCAGTGCTGTCAGTGAAATCTTGGCTTTTTCAAACATAGGACATTTTATGTGGCACCAGGCCTTCTGGACACAGATGAGGCTTGCTTGTCTAAAAGGGAGAAAAATATTCTAGCCCATGGATTGGCAGGGCTGATTGAGAGGGTTTTAACTGGATTTGAAGGGGGAAGAGCCTTGAAGAAGCTTGCTAGAGATGAGTTTCCTTGGGTTTTCTGGTGGGGTTTTTAATACTCCTTTTTTTCTTTTATTATTTATGCATAAAAGGTACTTGTTACTTCCTAGTCCATCCTCTTTCTCTTGTCTGAAACCTATAATGAAATCATAATTAAGATGGGAAAAAATCTAGCAAAGATAATTAATACATTTAATTGGCTTTGGGTTTATATCACTGCTCAATATTAAAGAGAATTTGAATACTAAAGAAAGTTATAGCTTCATGAGAGGTCCATTTTGTTTCCAAAAGCATTCTGTACAGCAACCATCATATAATCCTGCTGAAGAGTCTTTCAGTGCAGGGTAAACAATGTAATGCAGTACATTTGTTACAAAATAATGGCATTGAACTGTTGTAATTTCAGTCTACTTAACAATCTTGAGGCTTTTTAAGGTCACAGAACAAATAATATATTATCTTTTTGCTATAAATGTGGGTACTGGGACTCCCCAAACCACACTACAAAATTCTGTACATAAAGGATCCATCCAGGTTTTTCAGACACTGCTCTCAAAGAGGTGATTTCAAGTGTCCTGGTGGGGACAAGCAGTTGTGCTTTTAGCTGGGAGGTGGCAGCCAGCTGATGTCAGAGAGGCTGTCCTGGCTGGGATTAGGAACACATCCTGATGGGACATGAGTCTGCTCTCACAGTGAGTGCAGCTCTTCGATAAGGTGATCGCATACAAGGTACTTGTGTGTGTTTTATTAGGAGAACTGAGGGGACGCATATTAGCACATGGAGGGCCTACTTTTGTGCTTGATTTGCCTCTGTGCACTTTGTATGTAAATCTGAAGAAGGAGTTCCAACAAGAGGAGAAACAAAACTTATGTTCTTTCTCTTCTTGGTGATTAAAATGAAAAGTGATTAAAGTGAAAATATTTCACAAAAGATCTTGCTTCCTTTTCTGCTCACAGATAGTTCCTCAGTGTCAAATGTGCCTATTTGGAGAAGCTTTACAGTAGCCTCCTTCCCTCTATTCCCTCCTCTACTTAATAGTCCATGAGGAACCTTAGGATCTGTGAAAGCTGTGTCATTCTGAAGCCTCTCGTTCCCTGTAGCGTGGGTCCCTCTGATGTTTCAGCCCTTGACTCACATGCACAGCAGATAATAAAAAACAAAGTTGCTTTTCTAGAAAAGTCATGGCTCACTGATCTCTTCAGGAGCATACCTTATTCTTTCTCAGCAGATCCTTTGGCTCTGGCCCTTGAAGTTGTTTGAAATTCTCCGGCAGCTCAGGAGGGAGGCTGAATGGTGCGATATTTGTTCACTCCTCATTGCTAGTCTGACAAGTGAACAGCAGTTCACCAGAGTTCAAACATCTGGCAAACAGCTCGCTGCAGCTCGGAGCTGTCACACATTAATAAAGACCAATTGTTCCGTCAAGACCATGTTGAGAAGTTAAAAAGAAGAGAAGAGCCAAGGGGAATCGTGCTAATTAAAAGTATCTTTATAAAGATGTATGAATGAAGGATGATTAATTTAACTTTCTGAGGGTAAATCTGTGTTTCAGGATCAGACAGGAACTTTGTTTAGCCTAATTGAAGAGGAGCACAGCCTGCCACCCTGACTCCTGTTGAATAACACCCTATTCACTTGATAATTCCATGGATTCCAATCAGATGCTGAAATGTATTTCCGTGATGTTAAGGGAAGTTGGAAGGGCACATTTTTAAAATGAATCTTCCTCTGATTTTGAAATATACTGATCTACTTCTGAAAGGGGACAGAAACATATCAATTTGTTCATGTCTTCAGACTCTTTCCTGCTTCTTATGCCAATACACTATACCTTATATATTGCAGGGAGTATTGGTTTTAAAATATGCCTAAAGAGAGGTATGTGGAGAAAGTAATGAGACATGCTTAATTTATATCACATGGAAAATTCATTCCCTTTCTATTTCAAGAGATCTAACATTTGCCCCATCACTTTCTAAATGTAATTTTCTCTGCTATTTTCAAACCCTTGACTACATTAGAACATTAATTTTTAAAGAAAAATCCATAGATTTTTAGAAAGAGGCACAATATTTTAGCTCTTAATTCCATGTCTCTGACCACTTCTTTTCCTAAGAGCTTGTAGCGGGTTGAACCTAGTACCCACCAAAGCCTCTCTGTCACTCCCTTCTGCATCTGGACAGGATAGAGAAATTAGAGTGAAAGGTCCATGGGTTTTCCTAAGGATATAGAGAGATCACTCACCAAATATGATCACAGGCAAACCAAACTGAAATTAGACATAATAAATGAATTTATTGCTGACAAAATCAGAGCAGGATAGTGAGAAATAAAATAAGACCTTAAAAAACCCACATCCCTACCCTTCCTCCTTTCCAGCTCTACCTTGTCCCCCAGCAGTGCAGGGAGACAGGACAAGTGGGTTGAAGTCAGTTCATCACAGATTGTTTCTGCTGCTGCTCAGGGGAGATTTCCTTCCCTGGCTCCAGTGTGGGTCCAGCCCAGTGGAGACACTTCTCCACAGACTTCTCTGATGTCAGTCCATCCCACAAACAGGAGCAACAGCCCTCCACAAACTCCTGTGAGGAAGGCCATTTTTCCATGAGGTGCAGTCCTTCAAAAACAGACCTCTCCAGCTTGGGTGTCCCATGGGGTTGCAATGAGTTATATATAATTCATTGTGATTTAAGGGCCTATTTTCCCCTGGGTATCCTTGAGTTCTTCTGGAGTCTCCGCAGCTATCATGGTTGTTTGCAGAGCCCATCTTCACAAGTGATGGCAAAATAGCCTTCCAACACATGATTCACAATGTTATTGCTGTTCAAAAAATGCTGTCTCACTTTCTGATGAGCTGATTTTCTTCAGGGCATCTAAAGGAAGGTATATAATCAAAACTCTTGAGTGTGCTGTAAAAGAACACTGTGGGAGAAAGTTACTCAATAAGAGCAGTCTTTTGGAATCTTGAAAGGTAAGTTCTTTCTCTAACAATAATAATACTGTTGATGATGTAAAGGTTTTTTTTTTACTGCATTTATAAGGTGATTTTATTCAAGTATCCTAGAAATTCTTTATTAGGCCGTGTGTATAGCAATGCTTAATCCATGGCTTTTTGGGTGTCAGAAAATATATTTAACAAAGTAGCAATGCGAGTTAATATTTAGGATGTAAAATAACTATGATAAAAAGCTGGAAAAAGAAAGCATGTGAAAAGATGAAATTTACTATCTGGTATAAATAAGTGAGCTGACAGCATATTCTAAAAAATCAGTACTATGGAGACAGCCTCATCTTTTTATTATGGAATTACTCATGTTGCCATTCTTGAGACTTAATTTTGCCATATGCTTTGAGGTTCTATTATCCATCATGAATTATTTTATGTAGGAGTTCACACTATAAATCTAGCAAAGAAAAAAGCTAAAAAATATGACCTGTTCCATATTGTACACTTGGTTCTAACTTGAAATATATAAGTGAAGCATGGGAAGCTGTTAGTAACCAGTAATAAATTTAAAGGATCAGTGTAGTTTTAAAGAATTTTGGCTTGTTGGAATGTGTGATTTCACTGTAACAAAGCTAAGAGGAAAACCCATACCATGGAACCCTGAGGGATTCAAATGATTTCAAAAGCAGGGTTTAAATACAAATTTATTTGCATTTGGGCAAGGTGACCATTTTCTTCAAGAACTCCATTTTGTAACTATTTCTCTGCTACATGACAATATAAACAAACGTAGATCTATAGGTTCAAGATTGCACAGAGAAGTCCAATTGAATTCAGGGACTCATCTCCTTCTGATAAATTGATACAGCTCTGGTGACTTCAGTCTGTGACATTTAAAGAATAATAAAAGAGTGGAGAATTAAAAGGTTAAAACTTTTACTGCTCTTGGAATTTAAGTTACTTTCCCTCTAATTGTTAGTGTTTTCCTCTGGCAGTATAGACATATTTATTATAACTACACTAAAATACTTGGCTGATCTGTCTCACCTGAGGGAAGAAGACAACAGTTTTTTGGATGTTCCTAAATCAAAGGTATCTAAAAGTACATCAGGTGAAAAAGAAAATAGAAAATGAAGCAGAGATAAGAGACTCAAAACAATTTCAGGCCTATACACTAATATTATTCCTGGATTTACTAAGACTAACCCTGATGATAAAAAAAATAAACCAGAAACAGACTCAGGAAAGCAAATTCAGTATGAAATTTGGCATGATTTTATTTAGGAAGCATGGTTGCATATATATAACTCTCCCACTATCTATCTCTCACAAACAGGTATCCCATGAAATTTGTCATGCTTCCTATAAAAATCAATAACAGTGTTCAAGAGGTGCAAGCTTATTACTTATCATCTTTTAACAAAATAATTGGTTTACACTTTTATTATTGTCTCAGATGTTCCTGGCCTTCCATTTTCCATCCTGTTCTTTCCTTGGGCTCCCCACATTTGCTGGTTTTGTTGTGTACAGCTGAGCCTCATATTTTTGCCCACACGACCCCACCCAAGACTTCAGTAGTGGCTGGGAGTGCAGGGTCTGCTGCCAGCAGAAGGAAGATCCACAGCAATGCTTCTCCCACAGTTCCACATCCAGGAAGGTTTCTGTTCCTCTGGGACAGGGTATGAGACCGCCTGACAGACATAAGAGGAGAAGATTCCCTGTCTGTTGGCTGTTACTTTGTGGAAGTGGCTCCTGGCTGTGCTCACAACACATCCCCATCTGGTTCTGTACCCACCATTTCAGACAATCCTTGTAGGATGCTTCCCTTAAAAGAAACCACGTGGATCTTTCTTCTTGAGAAGACGAGGGGGCACCCAGACCTTGCAAGGACTAAATGCCTGAGGGGTCAGTACTTGCATCACTCCCAGGGAAAGAAGTGGAAATTCTAAACTGTCTTTGTTCTTGCTCCAGCTGGATGGCTCAGTGACCACTAAAGTGCTCTATCACGTCTTGGTACAAGGGATTTTAAACACTTAATGGTCAGTTAGTGCAATAAAAATAGCACAAGATGAAAATGTTCTCCACTTACAGAGTAAAAAAATATGTATTTTAAACTAATCGACCAACACCACAAATATAAACCATTAGGGGGACCCCCTGTGATACAGAAACTGTTATAAACAGATATGCTGCAGCTTTTTTATATTACTTTCAATAACCAGAGCAGTATATCTTACATTTTTAATCAATTTTCCATTTTACAGCCTGATTTTCAGAAGCAGAGCTGGAGTCCTGCATTGCCATCACTCCTGTGCTGTTGAACGACCTCTTGGATTTTCTTCACTGTAACAGAAGTCATAACTTACTTGTATGTGCCATACTTACTTGCTACTGATTGATATGGAGCTGTTAAGCATAATTTTACATGGAAGAAAATATTGTACATCAGATTAAAATGTAAGTAAGCAGAGAAAACACTGCCCCTGCCTGTGCAGCACTGATGTTTGGAGGAGCTCAGAGCCAAGTGCTCTGCAGTTTGCTTTGGCTCCTCAGCTCATAGCTGTGCCACGTGCTCAGCCCAGCAAAGGCTCCCAGTGATGCTGCAGGGCCAGGAATGAGCAAAGCTGAAGGGTAAATTACTTATATGCTGGGAAAAGGGAGCTCAGACCAAAAAGACTTCAGCTTCATGGAAGGCAGCAGCCCAAGCAGAGTCTGGGCCAGAGGTGGGGGGAGGATCTCTCTGCCAGACACACATTGCTGCTTCCCAATGCCTGCTGTCTTTCCTCCTGGCTGATCCAAACCCTGTACTGGCTATCCTGGTCCTTGCTACCACCTGGTTGTGTAAATCACATTTCCACAGGGTTAGTGAGGTATAAAAATGTTGCTAGCATTAGTTATATGGTTAAATTGTGATTAGGATACTTGAGTTTTGGTGTTGGGTTACATTTCCTCTGTAGTTTCTTCTGGATATTCTGGGCTAATTATCTACTTCATCAGCTCAATTCTTCAAAAATGGAAAGTTTTCTGAAAACACAAACTTCAGCATGGTATCCCACTGACTTTATGAACATGAATTATCACATTTCACCTGTTCTTTCTGTTTTGATCTGTCATTTAAACTATCAATGAGCTACTAAAATCACAGCGTCTCGCTAACTTTATCAATACTCAAGTTTTACTGGTCATTCCTACTTCAATTCACTAATAAAGAAAGGCATCAAATGTTGCACATATATTTTTAGTAGCATTTGAACATTTAATCAAAAGAGCAGAAACAATTCCAGTTGCTGAAAGACATGAGATGTTCAGTAGCCACAAGAGCTCAAGAAGGACTGACTCGGTTTTTCTATCTGCAAGGACATGATGCTGCTTTTCCACCATCAGCGAGAGGAATAGCTAACTTTGATAAGAAAAGAAAAAACACAACCCATAATTAGATATTATAAAAAGCCTTCTTAGGTGATTCTAAGGTGAAGCATGGTAAGATCAGGGCTCTCTGGAAGTTTTACCCAGCTGCAAAGGCCAAAGCACCATCAGTGCCCACCATGTCCTCATTGACTGCCCTCTTCCGGCTGCAAAGGACTGGAGGAAGTACTCTTCTCAGGGATAACCTTCCCAGGAACTGGCACGCTGTGGGGAAACCAGCTGAGAGCTCCTTGGGAGGCAGGAAGAGGAGAAGGTTTGGTGTTTAACAAATCAGAGCTGGGTAACATAATCCACCAGGAATTGGACGGCTCTGTGTGGTGGATTGCTAAAGCTGCCACCAGGTACCTAAAGAAAGTAACCCATGGAACCTCAGGACTCTGTGTACCCCATTGCACCGACTTTCCCCAAATACAGACACATTCAATATCCACACCATGGAGCTGTCTGTCCTCAATGGCCAAATATGCCCTCTATGGGTACTTCCAGCAGCTTCTGCCGCTGTGGGAGCACTGGGTGTGGAGGGAACACCCTTGCACATCAGGAGGCCACATGAGAATACCTGCAGAACCACAGTCCCTGTGATGTAAGGAGGGCTGGAGGAGGCTGGGAAAAGACCTCGTGTTTTCTCTGCAAACTAAGTGGAATCACTTTGGTAACTCCTCTCTTTTCCAGACTTTGTCTGACAAGAAATGTCCCACAACACTGGGAATGGCAATTAGGCACTAGAGGTACCCCTTCCTGTGCTGCATTTTTAGGAGCCAGCTTCTCCTCTCAAATCTTTGAGGTCTTTGGGTTTATTCACAATGATCCTGAGGCTTTTGCAATATTTTCAAAGGCTTCAGTTACAGTCAGACTAGTGAGTTCTGCACTGGAAAGTCAGCCAGCACTCCAGAACAGAATATGGTCCTCCTTAAGTCACTCCTAGCTGTGAGGACTTTGTGGGGATGTGACAGTGATTGAGGACTTTGTCATATGACAGTGATTGCATTTTACACCTGCTTTACATATACAGAGGTGACTGTGCAGTGTATCAGGCAATAATGACCCCTGATTGCTGTATGTGCATATTTGGATAACTAGATTTTAGAGATAATTTATGAAAATCCTTTTGTTCTCATCTCCAAAGAGGAGCATATTTAACTTATCATTGCCAAAAACATAGATTTCACTGAAAGAAAAAGGAGGAAGGTCCTCAAAACACATTGATGGTTACTCTTTTTGTTGCAAATCCATTTCTTCACCTCTTTTGAAATCATCTAACCCCTGCCAGGAGTAGTGAAAGGAGTGACCTAAAAGTCTGAGCTGTTGGTGCACTGCCAATGGATAATTTTTTTTTTGTATTGCTGTGCTGGTATGGGCTCAGCAGGTACATAAATTACAATGTTCCAACCCATTTCACCCTCCAAGCTGGAGTGAAGTATGTTCATTTTCACTCTTTGCACTCGTTGCTTGTTCTTAGAGAGTCAGAGCTCATGTTGCTGTGCAATCCTGAACTCCTTTTATGAGCCTAGCTGGAGCACTGCTGGATATCTTTCTTCATTGCAGATTTTTAATCTTGGCTTGCAAAATCGCAAACTTTTTCCTGGCTGCAGAGATTATTACCTCCCTTTAGGTCTCAGATACACTGAAGAATCTCACACAGATTTTTACAATATACTTTTTCAGCCCTGGTTTTTTTTTTTTTTTTCAATAACACACTTGGTGTCCTTTTAGTTCTACACATGGGCTAGTGGTTGATTAATCTTTTTGTCTATGTTGTGGCCAGTCTGTCTTTGATTTTATTTCTTATATTTATTCATTCTACTGCCAGAGAAGCATGAGAATCAGACGAAAATATTTGCTCCATTTAGATCCTGAAAACAGACTCTGTTGTTAAGTGCAAAGTGCACAGAGCAAGTCCAACAACAACAACAATTACAGACTAGGACAGAATGAGCAGTTTGCTGTGCTACACTGAATCATGATTTTGACTCGGAAATATTTTTTCTCTGTTGGAATATCTAGTAAAGTGTTTTTGTAAGATTTCAATGCCACCCCTCCTCTTGTTTCCACCCTTTAAAAAAGAAATTAGAAGAAAAATGTGACCTCAGCCCCCCTGAATGGAGCAGAAAATCCTAGATAATTTTGTTATGGACTCCTACACTGATAGTTGATCTAAAGAAAAACTTGGGTTTAAACTAGTTCACATTTGATAACAGCATAATTTTGAGTGAATCTTTTTGTTAACTCTTCTCAATTTATATTTTGAATGTGTCTGGATTTTTTTGGTTTTTAAGAAATAGGTTTCATGGCCTGTTAAGTAGCTTCGATAGAATTATAAAAAGTGAATTCCTTGAGGACATGAGTAAATCTTTTCTATGGCTTACTTTTCCACACTCCCTTTATATATGGAAAAAGGAAATGCAGAAAGATTAAAAATATTTCTCAAGGTCACGTAGGAATTCCTTGGTGAAAATTGCTTTAATTTTCTACATCCCAGATCAGTATTTTTCATACTCATCCAATCTTTCTGATCTTATCTGGTGAGATATTTTGAAATGATTAAAAAAAAAAAAAGATGTAATTTTAAATTGCAGTTGTACCACCACCTTCAAAGATTTTGTTCTTATTATCATTGGGATGTCCTTGTTCTGGAGCCCAAAACATCTTGTCATTTAATTGCACCCTGGTCAGCCGTAGCTCATCAAGCACAATCTCTGTTTGCAAACAACAGCAAGTGGGGAATCTGAGGTTGCCATCCTGCTGCAGATATATGATCACTGTATCTTCCTGCTGGATATATATGTCAGTCCTTGGTTGTTTTGACTGGGATTTTTAAAATAGTACATACATTTTGCTCCTTACAAATGTCTTGAGCACAAATAACCTCCAAAAGATATTATTATTGTACACTTATTTACTAATATATTTGTAAGATATTTGAATGAGCTTTTTATTGACTTTTAAAGCTCATAGATATACTTCATTGCTAATAAGCTTTTTTCTGGTTCATGTACTCCTCAGCTGGGTATAAAGTTTCAGAAACATTGGGCTTCATAATAAATTAAGATATTTAATTTCCCTATTTTTATAAATCAGATACGTCCTCTTGTTAGTAGTTACTTAGTAGTTGAAAAATTGTCTGGTCCATTTGTATTAATTGAGACAAGAGGCAGGGATAATGGAGAATTAGAAAATTTCAGATTTGTCATGGAAAAAGATGGCAAGCATTGCATAAGCATTTAGAGGGAAAATATAAAGAGGTGACAAAAAAGACCTAAAGAAAGTTTAGCTGCTGTGGGTCATGAGTTGCTTATGGCTTTACTAAAGTGGAACAAAGTTTGGTGGGAGTCCTTTAAATGGGGCTTAGTCAGATTCCAGCTGGCTTAAATTACTGGAATTCTGAGGATATCCAGTATCACTGGCAAGTACCAATTAATCTAGTACAATTATTTCCAGTGTACCAAGGCTGAAACCACTCTTCCTTGAATTACATTATTACTTAAGAAATTGCATCATTTCCTTTAGAACAATATTAAATAAATGCCCCTCAAATTTGCAACTGAAGGACTGTTCACATTATGCATAATGCCTTATGAAATACAAATTGATGGCTTTGTGTAATGTCTCATTGAAATAATTATTTGGTGGGACACTTCACTGAAAAAGTGCTTATTCGTTGCATTTTTCCTTTGCAAAATACTTTTTCTTTCACTGTAAAGTTTTCAGAAAGATTTCTAGTTTGGAGCAATTGGACCATGGTCTATGATATTGCTCAGTAGCTGAAGCATGAGCTGTATATCCACTGTTTCTAATTTTTGAGTTGTCTGCAGGCAGTTACCCTCCACTTTGAGATATTTCATGCCTGTATTTTCTGTTGTATGATTTTCCATGCTCTATTCAACAACTGGCTCATCAAACCAATGCAGTACCACCTCTCTTAGAAAGCAATATTTCTGTCTTTGAAAGAAGAACAGAATAATGTCAGGAATCATAACAAAAATCTGTCTTTCAATTTTTTTGTTATCATAAAGAGTTCCAAGGGAATAATT